CTGAGCAAATATATGAAATCTGCAATCAAAATGTAAGCCTAAAGCAAGACCTATACAGAATAGTCACCCATTGGCAGAGACAGGAGTGTTGAATATATATTTTAGGAAGCTGAAGGACTGGACAAACTGCTTCTGACAATAACTGCTTTAAAGACCCTTTAGTAAATATCAGCAGAATTGGTTTGTAACTTAGCATGTCTTTCACTTTGAACATGGTCCCTAAAAGTTTTTGCACATGTCAGGATATCTACAAACACAATTTGTTTCAGGCTGACTATCCATGATTAACATTTTCCTTTCCTGTCTATGACCTGAATAATTCCTTTTACTAAACTACACATCTTAGTTTTTCTATCATGCACTGAGGATTAAAATCAAATGTTTTCTAGGTGTTGCTTTCTTGTTTTGTTCTCTAAATGAACCACCTTTAAAGACCATTTAAATAAACTATCAAAATAGAAGGTTGCAAAAAAGCTTTTAGGGATTGCAGAAGTCAGTTAATTAAGGTTTATTGCAAAGATTTCTAATTATGAGAGCCAGTCTTTTTTTTTTTTTTTTTTAATAATACACAATGTATTTATTTATTTATTTATGGCTGTGTTGGGTCTTCGTTTCTGTGCATGGGCTTTCTCTAGTTGTGGCAAGTGGGGGTCACTCTTCATCGCGGTGCGCAGGCCTCTCACTATCGCGGCCTCTGTTGTTGCGGAGCACAGGCTCCAGACGCGCAGGCTCAGTAATTGTGGCTCACGGGCCCAGTTGCTCCATGGCATGTGGGATTTTCCCAGACCAGGGCTCGAACCTGTGTTGTCTGCATTGGCAGGCAGATTCTCAACCACTGCGCCACCAGGGAAGCCCGAGAGCCAGTCTTAAACCTATAATCTTATTTATCCAACTAGAATCAGGATAATCAAGGAATATTTTTCCTAACTACAGCTAAGTGATTTGGAAATTTCTTTTTTTTTTTTTTACATTTCTGTAATTGTAAGCAGACAGCAAACAATTAAGTCAAGGTTGTTTAATGGGGTTTCCTTAATATTTCTTAAGTATGAGAAAAGACATATACATATAATCAACTACATGAAAGAAAAGGTAATTTCACGTAAACTTCCTCTTTATCCTCACGTTCCACACTGTGCACAGAATAGTAAAAACATAATTAATGCAATTGTCTATATTTTTCGGTTTCTATTATTTTATTTCCTATTTGTACGAGGTTGCCTCATGTACAATATTATTATTCTGCTGATTTTCTTTTCCCCTACCTCTGGCCCTGATGATATATCAGCATCTTCTGCTAAATGGTTGTTACCCTAACTTGTCTTGCCTATTTTGCAGACACCAACTCATTTCTCCAAATTTTAGTTAAATCTTCAGTTCCTTCCCCAAATCCTGTTGTACCTCTGCAATATATCAACTTGTTAGATGTTCTTGGGTCCATTAGTCATCAGGGCCTAATCCCTCAGTTGCTCAACCTTTGCTTGGTTCCTTCTACTCAGCATTCTTTCCCTTCTCCTGGCTTCACGTGGCCTACACATATTCTACTCATCTCTCAGAACAGAACTTAATTTAATACTGCTTCCTCAGGAAAACCAGCCCTTATCCTCTAGACCTGAATAATACATGCTCTCAGAGCACCCTGAGCTTCTCCTTGGTGGGACTTATCACAGTACTAATTATGTATTTGTCAAATTATTTGTTATCTGCCTCCCACCAGGGTGTAAAATTCACAAAAGCTCACTCACCACTGTACATGTGTTGAATAAATTAAAGGCTTATTAATAGCTCATATCACTTTTCTATTTTAGTGTGAAAACAATGATATGTAACCTACGGATAATGAGACAAATAATTTACTGTGGTCCCCTCAGTCCAACAAAATTGTAATGTGTTACCCTGTAACTTTGGACAGTGCCTCTTGAGTCACTTCAAAGAGAATTTCAAAAGATACCCAAGTGGAATGATGGCAAATCCCTCCCTCTATCTGCAACAGTAACACTGTTATCTTATTAAGGCTGGCACACAATGATGACAGCTCAAGTCTGGTTCTGGGACACTCCAGTTTCTATAAGCTCCTTTTACCCAACACTAGGATCTGACCCCTTCTGATATGAAGAGAGTAATGGATACATGCACAGATTGAATTATTTCATAATGTTACCCTTGACTGGAATATCTGCATTTTTAAAGGTATGATTTTCTAACATCAGAATTTCAGACACAAGAAGAGAAGACCTTCTTGGTGCCTCTTAAAATTATGACATGGAGATAAGTGGCTCATACGTGTAAGACTGGTCATAGTATTTTATAAAGCATATATCTGGTAATATTTTAGCTCAGTTTAGGACCTTGATGTACTTTTCAAACAAAATTTAAATATATTTTGATTTTTCATTATAATTTATAACTAAAACAAAGTTGAATTAAATGAACAATAATTGTTTCTCAATATTCTTCTCAAAAATAAATTTACGGGGGAGGATTATTTAATAATACTGTCCCCTACCAGAATGCATAGCCTCAATATATGGATATTGTATCTTGTTTCATGCTTTGTATGATTTCTGTCCTTATAACAATACACTTTTAATGAATTCTCTCATTTTTAAAGTGGGAAATAGTTCGTATCCTGCCCTTCTGCTAAATTAGAAAAATAGCCTAAATGAACTCTCTTCTAATCCTGAAAGACTGCTATATGTATAATGTATGAAATTATGTAAACATTTACGTGTATATTTTATTTAAAGTGATATATTGTTTTTATTCCCAAACTTAATTATTTATACCCTATCGTTAGAATAGTTGTACTGGATTATATTTTTTTTAATCAAGTGGCAGAAAAAAGGCTGAGAAATAATCTGTTAATGCAGAGAGAAACAGAAGACCCTGTCTGTTTTATGCTGAAGACACTTCTGACAAGATTTTGTTGATACTATGGGAAAGAAGGAAAAAAAGAGAAAACAGGAATTACATTTTGAACAATCATAAAGCAAATTCTACGATGTGGAGCAGTTTGCTAGATGAAGAGGAATATTATATAGTAAATACAAAAATGGTGATTCTACAGTATTATTTGGCTTTGCTTTATTTATTAGATGCATTTCTGAAGATTATCAGCAAAGTGAACTTATATATATTATTTTGAATAAAATAGTCACATCCACTTCAAATATGTTTTTAGCAGAATATTTAAGTTTTCTTCCTGTATACTTTATAGGTTTAGTAGTGTTTTTTTCACTTTGTATTTTGCAATAATTATAGATTCACAGATATTTGCAAAAAAAATGTATGGTAAGGTCCCATACACCATTTACCCAGCCTCCCCCAATGCTAACTACTTGCATAACTAAAGTGCAACATCAAAACCAGGAAATTGACATTGGGAAAATCCATAGAGCTCATGTGTGTGTGCATGCATGCATGTCGTGTGTGTAGCTCTTTGCAATTTATCACATATCTAACTTCATGTAACTACCACCATAATCAAAATACATAACTACATTATTACTACAAGGCTCCCTCCTGCTACCCCTTCATAGCCAATCCCTCTCTCCCTAAGCCCTAACCCTTGTCCACCAAGAATCTATTCTCCATCTCTACAATTATGTTATTTCAAGAATGTTATGTAAGTGAATTATACAGTATGTATCCTTTTGAGATTGGTTTTTTTCACCCAGCATAGTGCCCTTAAAGTTTATCCAAGTTGTGTGTATCACCAGTTTGTTCCTTTTTATTGCTGAATAGTATTCCAACATCTTATATATATTTCTACTTTAAATATCACCATAGCTGCCTTAATGCATGATATGGGCCGAACTGCATCCCCTAAAATCCATATGTTGAATTTAGCACGTGACTGGATTTGGAGATAGGTCCCTTAAAGATGAAATTAAGGTAAAATGAGGTCATATGGGTGGGATTTAATCTGTCATGATAGTATCCTTACAAGAAGAGATTATGACAGAGACATGCACATAGGAAAGAACATATGAAGACACAGGGAGAAAATGGATATTTACAGTCCAAGGAGAAAGGATTTAGAATGAAATCAACTCTGCTGATACCTTAATCTTGGACTTCTGGTCTCTAGAACAATAAGAAATTAAATTTCTGTTGTTTACACCACCTAGTCTGTGGCATTTGTTATAGCAGACCTAGCAAACAAATATAGTGTAAAAGAATAGTATAAAACATATAAAACAATACTTTCTTCTATAAGACAATCACTTCTGTATCAACATAATTTATGAATGCTTCTCAAAGGGAGTTTTTAAAATCTTTGAAGCTTTTCCTGTATCATGCTTTGTGATAAATTACATTATGGGGGAATTAAAGAGAATATATACTTAAAAAAATCATATTCATGCCTATTCGTGCCTAACTACATTGCAGTAAAAACCTGTAGTGTTAAAAGGGACCATTTAGCTGAAGGCAATTGGAGTTTTTAAAAAAGACAGTTTAACTATTTTTTACACAAAACTGCACCTAAACAACAGCATTTAGACACATTTCTGGATATTTTTTGCTGTTTCTTTTAGGAATGGATTATGGTTAGGCTTGCTGGCTGCATTGTTTTTACAATATAGATATGAATTATAATTAGCATAAATTCTTACTATTTGCTTATTTGACATGGAAAAGAGATGGCTGCATAAGTACGGCAACTGAATTTCAATTCATGTAGCAACATTTTATTTATGTCTGATGTTTGTTGTTAAGTAATACGGACTTGCTCATTAAGATACGTCAGTATAGGATTATATCAAAAACATAAATGCATAGATATTAAAGAGAAGCTTTATATCTAATTGACCATACTACTATGAAGTAATATCAAAAATACCTTTCTGCACCTTGGGAAACAATAAGAACAAAAACCAGAAAATCACCACTATAATGTATAGAGTGTACAATTGCACCTCAGTGAATATAGGTCCACCAGGGATATTAAGCATCAAAAGGGAATTATAGATAAGTTTTGAGAGAACAACAGTGGAACTTACCATCTTGATTCGTGGTCACTGTAATAGCTGTGAATGGCTTGGGAGAAAAACTCAACTCAGAAACTCCATTCATGGCTTCTATTTCAAAGGTGTAATTCATGTGAGGCACAAAGTCAAGTACTATCACGGAATTGTTGATCAGGCCAGTATGTCTTGGGATGAAGCGGAGTCCTCCACCACAGTCCTCACACTGGCTGGTATCTAAGCCACATTTCTTACAGATCACACTGTATGTGAGATCTTTTCTCCCTCCTGTGTCACTTGGTGGGCTCCATTCCAAAATAAGGGCCGTTTCATTGATGTTAAAAACCACATTCCTAGGAGCTGAAGGTGGCCCTAGAGAAAGCAATTAAAAAACAAATGTACATGTATAGGACAATGAATTATGGTGCTAACTTGAAAACTTCATCAATAAACGCTTGCTGGTCTTTTATATTAGTTTGAGCTCTTTCTTCTGATGGAAGCCATAAAGAAATATGGTTAAAAATATCTGAGTTAGGGCTTCCCTGGTGGCGCAGTGGTTGAGAGTCCGCCTGCCGATGCAGGGGATACGGGTTCGTGCCCCGGTCTGGGAAGATCCCACATGCCGTGGAGCGGCTGGGCCCGTGAGCCATGGCCGCTGAGCCTGCTCGTCCGGAGCCTGTGCTCCACAATGGGAGAGGCCACAACAGTGAGAGGCCCACATACAAAAAAAAAAAAAAAAAAAAAAAAAAAAAAAAAAAAAAAAATATCTGAGTTAGTTTAGTAAGAGTGGAGTCTTAGGGGTGAAGATGGTCTATATCTTAACTTTTGGTATATGAATTTCAATATTTAATATCAAAAGCCATAGATCTCCAAAAGATACAGTAATTATACTTTTTAAATTTGTTGACTGAAAATATATAACAAAACATTATTTTAAATTATGTGATGGTTTTAAATACATCTTAATAATTACATCATCATTTTAAAATTTTGAAAAAATAGTAACATGCATATATAAAACAGGCTGTGTTCAGTCTTTCAGTCCTCAAACTATGCTTGATGTATAACTAAAACTCCCATTCATTTTTCTGGACAATCTCTCTAAGAATCTTTTTCTCACAGGCTGAGAATAAATGGCCAGAAACTCAGGGTGGACAGACAGTTTGGAAGAAGGGGAAGAGGAAGGGAAACTGGAGGCAGCATAAAGGCTTTTACTAGGTCCTGACAATTTCATGGGACAAAAGCATTACATGGAAGGGATAAAAGGGGGTATACATAAGAAATGGTACCTAGACTTTTATTTAGATTAACTTTACTAAACATAAGTAAGTGTGTCCTTAGAAGCTGATAAAGAGACCCACAGAATCCTCTTATTTGTCATCAAGAGTGCACAAACCATGTTTCTCATGGATGGCGGATGAGCATCTGCTCTCTTTTTTCTCATTATTTTTCCATACGGATCACACTGCATAGAGTATTTATATCCTTTAACTATTCCAGTCTTTTCTTAAAATTGTGTCAATAATCTTTTACACTTATCCGAGTCCTTCAAACCTCAGTTTCATATCATTCACTGAACAAATATTAACTGAAGGTCTACTAGGTGCCTGGCACTGTGCTATGTGCTATGTTGTGAAATACCACAGAATCCTTTCTGTAAGAGACTGTGCTTATGACAGATATTTTGAAAAATAATTTATTGCATAAATAACTAATTAACATTCTTGCCATATTTTAAAAAGCTTAGTTTTGAGAAATCGAAACAGTTCTTTAAATTGCTGCTATCAAGAAAATTTGCTTAGAAGGAGGAAAAGAATTCTCTGTGACATTCTCTCCATAGAAAGAAATTCAATTTTTGATATACGCTTCTTTTGGATTTCAAGATATGGTCATTCATTCATTAAATATATATATATATTTTTAGTGACTACTATGTGTGCCAGATATTCTGCTAGATCTTGGGCTTGCAGCATGAATGTGATAAAAGTTATTTCTGCTTTCTTGTTATTAACATTTTAGCTGAATGGCTAGATAAACACAAATACACACACACAAACAGAAGAATAAAATTCAAATTATAGTAAGTGCAGTTACAGAAATCAAAAGGAAAGGAGTTGAAATAACCTGAGAAACGTTCTAAGAAGGCCTCATATAGGTGATGTGGAAGATGTTCAGAGGGGTGGGAAGAATATTAGAGGTAGAAGATGTGTGGCTCTTCAGTCAAAAAAGATTTTAAAATAGTCATGGAACTGTCAGAAGATCACTGTGTCTAGAATGCAGAAGGAGGAAGCAAGAAGTGAGTTTTAAGGAACAGGAAGGGGTCGGATAATGCCAGACTGCTGGCTCATTGGAATGAGTCTGAATATGTTTCTATACTTAACAGGAAGAAACTAACAGATTCTATCTACAGAAGTGATGGGTTTCAAAAACAGTATTCTGGCTGCAGTGTGGGGAATGGTCTAAATGAGTACAGAGGACTCAGTAGCAAGATCTGTTATATACTGTTAGAGTAGCATAACATCACTCCTAAACCTATATGATTGGGTATTGGCTTTGAGATATTAAGAAGTGTTACATTTTCCTTTTTCATTTTGCTGGATCCTGATATCAGCAACCTAATGGGTAGGACTCAGACACCTATATGTACATTTCATGTTCCAGAGAGCTAAGAAACGTCTACCTTCAGAAAGGAAAATATGGAAGGGATTATAAACGAGAGCACAGGGATAGGCATAGTTCTTTACCTCCAACCTAGATTCATGGCTAGGAGATAAAGATTCATTATCATTATCATAATAATGTCTTCCTACAGAATGACATATTCATATTGTTCTTTTCTCTTATTTATAATGGAAAAACATGAATTATTATTCACTTACATTTCCAAGAACAGGAAGAATGTTATCAATTATGTTATGGGTGTCTGCAAGTATATGACTGTCTGCCTAGCGATACTTAAATAAAAACGGCAGACACCCTTCTTCCTCAAGGGCTCTCAGACCAATTTGCATGACAATTAAATAGCTTTTTAATTGCTGTTAAATTATGCCAGCTAAACTGTGATTTCATGCAAATATTAAGCTGTAAAGACATGCATGAATCATTTACTAAGATTTAGAACTTAGAACAAAGAGATACAATTAATTCTAATCCTCAGATTCAACTAAATTGTGTCACTGGGCTTTTATGAATGTGGCCTGACTGCTTTGTTATCATTTATAAATTATACAAAGATTATGTGACACACAGGGAAAAAAAATCTTGGCAGCAATAACTCTTTTGGAGACATCTGTACTGAAAACTCTCAGGAATTTTCTTATGGTGATTTTTTTTTTCTTTAAAGGAAACACGTAATTCACATAGAAAAAAGCTATCTCCACACTACACCCTCCAAACCAACCTCATAAGAAAAGGACAATTATCCTAATTTGCAGCTAGCTGTTTTTGTAGCCCATCATGTAATAAACTTAAATAAAAACTACAATTTTATTTCTATTAAAAAAACACACTTTTAATCTTCTTTTTTTTTTTTTTTTGGCTTCAATTTGGATTTCCCCTTTACACATTTAAAGAATAAAGAAATAGTGCTCTAATAGTAAACTTATGAGAAGCTTGTGGCAGTGCGGTACTGTCCCTCCACAGAAGAGCATCAGGCCATGCAGCCCCCATCTTCCTCTCAGAGTAGCAGAGGCCAGGTGAGCTACAATTTTTTTAATTTTTTTTTTCGGTACGCGGGCCTCTCACTGTTGTGGCCTCTCCTGTTGTGGAGCACAGGCTCCAGACACGCAGGCTCAGCGGGCAAGGCTCAAGGGCCCAGCCGCTCCGTGGCATGCGGGATCTTCCCGGACCGGGGCACGAACCCGTGTCCCCTGCATCAGCAGGCGGACTCCCAAACACTGAGCCACCAGGGAAGCCCCAATTTTTTTAATTTAATTTAAATTTTTTCTTTATGGAAAATGTTTTAAACAGAACTATATTTCCCAAAGTACATCATGCGTAATATCTCTAGTCCCACGAGATATCACAAAAAAAATGAGTTCAGTGCTCAAATTAAGATTCCTCTGGTAGATTGACGCTGAAACAAAAGAAACACAATTTGCTTCCCTTTGTTGAATCCAACATTTCCCAAACGTTTATTCATGGAATGTTATTTTCTAAGAAGCATAAGAAGGAATACCAGCATTCTGCAGAACACCCTTTAAATAAAGGTTGACACTGAAGGAGAGCAAACTTAGGGGTCACATTTCAGTTTCTACATACTTTGCTGCAGATTTCATATTTTATGCTTATAATTACAGAAATATATGAACTCATGAATAAACAGGGGTCTTTTTCATATTAACTGAAGAGTGACTGTTCATTCACCCATTAACTCTATAACTAATTGTGGCTTACAGATGCATTTTTTAACCTTTAAGAACAATGAAAATTTGATCCAAATAACTGAAAATCATTAAAGGCTATTGCTTATTAAACATTATTAAACTATATTTTCCACTTCTTAACTTACTACCTGGCAATAATTTAAGTGTGTTTGTTGGGGACTTCCCTGGTGGTCATGTGGCTAAGACTCCATGCTCCCAATGCAGTGGGCCTGGGGTTTGATCCCTGGTCAGGGAACTAGATCCCACATGCCACAACTAAGATTCAGCACAGCCAAATAAATAATAAATATTTTTTTTAAATGTGTTTGTTAATTTAATGACTACCAAGACTTTATAGTACAGTTTCCTAATAAAAAGCATAATATTGGGTGCTGGGAAGATGGCGGAGGAGTAAGACGCGGAGATCACCTTCCTCCCCACAGATACACCAGAAATACATCTACATGTGGAACAGCTCCTACAGGACACCTACTGAACGCTGGCAGAAGACCTCAGACCTCCCAAAAGGCAAGAAATTCCCCACGTACCTGGGTAGGGCAAAAGAAAAAATAAAGCAAAAACAGAGACAAAAGAATAGGGACGGCACCTGCACCAGTGGGAGGGAGCTGTGAAGGAGGAAAGGTCTCCACACACTAGGAAGCCCCTTCGCGGGCAGAGATTGCGGGAGGCGGAGCGGGAAGCTTCGGGGCCGCGGAGGAAAGCGCAGCAACTGGGGTGCGGAGGGCAAAGCGGAGAGATTCCCGCACAGAGGATCGGTGCCGACCGGCACTCACCAGCCCGAGAGGCTTGTCTGCTCACCCGCCGGCGCGTGCGGGGCTGGGGGTTGAGGCTCGGGCTTCGGTCAGAGCGCAGGGAGAGGACTGGGGTTGGCGGCGTGAACACAGCCTGAAGGGGTTAGTGCGCCACGGCTAGCCGGGAGGGAGTCCGGGGAAAAGGCTGCACCTGCTGAGGAGGCAAGAGACTTTTTCTTCCCTCTTTGTTTCCTGG